CAAATCATTATAAATTTAATAAAGTTCATTAGCTAAAGAAGCTGTCAGATTGTTAAAAAAATAAATAAACACATACTGTTTATAAGAAACACATCTAAAACCTAGTGATTCAGAGAAACAATGTAAAAAGATAGAAAATAAATAAGCCAAAACCGGCTGAAAGAAGGCTAAAACACATATTTTCAAAGTTAAATAAATCTTCAGGAAAAAATTAGTAGATATTGAGTTAGTCCAACCCAATCTTAAGAGGAATGATGCAAAAAAATAAATAAATAAACAACCCATAATATTTATGAACTTGAAAGCATTTAACAATGTGGCTTGAAAATACATAAATCGAGCAGCAGCACCAGACAGCAGAACTGGGCAGCTCCATGTGGCTCCCTCACCTCACCGCCTTGGACCCAGGCAGGCAGGGAGCTCCAGGCCCCACCCTGGCACCCTGAACCGGCATTACGCAGGTGAGCCCCCTGGTGCCAGCCAGCGGAACCATGAGGCTCCATTCAGCCACTCATCCCGCCTCAGACCTGGGAGGAGCACCAGCCTATGGTTCTGACCCAGTGAGTTTGGCCCCGCAGAACTCCACATGCTAGGGGCTCATTCTATGACTACAGAGTCTAGAACGGGAACCAAGGTGATTTACCATAACCACCACCACACCTAATGTCAAGCAAAGACAATTCACCCAGCACAGTAGCAACCAAGGTCACTCCACAGCCAACCTCAGTGTAATTAAAGAAGCAAACCCCCTACCAAATGACCAAGCATCATCGAAAGAACACTAGAAGCACAAACAATCAAGAAGAAATGACACCACTGAAAGGCTACAGTAATGCCCCAAAGTCAGACTCCATGAAATGTCTGAAAAAGAATTTCGAGCAATGATCTTAAGAAAACTTGAAGAAATAAAGGAAGACTCAATTAGAGAACACAATGAAACAAGAAAAAAACATCCAGAATATGAAAGAAGAAATCTACAAAGAGATTAATACCATAAAAAAGAGTGTAGCAGAACCTGTAGAAATGAAAGACTCACTCAATGAAATAAAAAACATGACTGAAAGCTTGAGAAACAGGGTAGAACAAGCAGAAGAAAGAATTTCAGAGCTTGAAGGTGGTCTTTTTGAAATAAGTCAGGCAGACAACAAAAAGGAAAAAAGAATTAAAAATAATGAGGAAAACCTACGAGACATAGCAGACAACTTCAAACACTCTTAACATCCAAATTGTGTGGGCCGGCCCGTGGCTCACTCGGTAGAGTGCNAAAAAAAAAATCCTGAAGATGAAATTGTAAAAATGATGAAACTACAAAAATATAAGTATACATATGTAATATATAATAGTACTTAAATCATTTTTTATAAAACACAGGCACCAGATTTCTACTAAACATCTCAGAAAACACTAAAGAAACTTGAAGAATCTCATTTTTAAACAACGTATTATACTACTATCCCTATACAGTCTTACATATGAAAGCAGTCTTACAAAAAGCACTTACTAAAAGCACGGAGAACTGTATACATAAACATACCGAACACTCACAGTATACCACCATGTACATCAGGGCGGATACATTGCAAACTACTCTAGTGGTTCATTTGTACATGATACCTTTACTGAGTATCTACTGTAATTCGTTAATTGTTCTAGGTACAAAGGATACAAACAGAAATAAAACCCTATGCCTGCCTTTGGGGACTTACCATCTAGAATAAAGAGTTAGGGAGGGAAGAAGAGGGAGAGAAGAGATAGCTAGATCAGATACCCAGGACGGTAAGTGACAGTACAGAAGAACAAAGGTTCTCCAGTCCCAACACCTCAATAATGTGAAAATATAACATTAGGTTTATCAGTACACAAATAGCTATAAAAATTAAGGTGAGAAACATTTTTTGAAAAATAAAATAAAGCAGAAAAAAGTCAAATATATGTGAAATACAAACTTAAAAGCCATACTCACCACTTTTATTACATGTCTTGCGTCTCTGTCTGGTTTATTTGTGGGGAAAGCTGCAGAGAAAAACAAAATAAGGAAATAGTTGCTCTCAGTTACTGAATATCATATCCCAGACACTGTGCTAAGCACTTTACATATATTAGTGTATTATATCCTCCTAACAACCTCTGTGGTAGTTAAACATCATCTCCATTTTACACAAGACACTACTAAGGTTTGAGAAGTTGAGTAACTTTCTTACTAAGAAGTGGTAGACTGGGGACTGAAATTTAAATCTGTCTGACACCACAGCCCACACTCTTTACCATATTCAAATATGGAAACCAACAGACAATATTAAGAACACAGATCCAAACTGTAGGGAAAAATATCTTCTAGATATATGGCATTAAACCCAATAGGTTATATATAGTAAAATCCATTGATTCAATTTCATTAAATTAGAATCTGTCATAATTCAAAAGTAAAAATTGATTCATTTTAAGTAGAAAGTTTGAAACAATTTCTACTTGGCAAAATTCTAGAATAAGTCAAGTTCATACAATGTTCATTAGGTATTAGATATAAAGCAGGTCCTACAGAAACACAAAAGAAAATTTTCAAGAGGAAGATAACAATTCTGAACTTTTAAGCATCTAACATAGGCTGAACATACATACATAAAATAACAACGCATCTTATAATCCATAACATCTTAAATTTGATAAAATGTCACAAATCATTATAAATTTAATAAAGTTCATTAGCTAAAGAAGCTGTCAGATTGTTAAAAAAAATAAATAAACACATACTGTTTATAAGAAACACATCTAAAACGTAGTGATTCAGAGAAACAATGTAAAAAGATAGAAAATAAATAAGCCAAAACCGACTGAAAGAAAGCTAAAACACATATTTTCAAAGTTAAATAAATCTTCAGGAAAAAATTAGTAGATATTGAGT